ATTAGGTCTGGTGCTCTGGGACATTGCAGGACACTTTGCATAGTGGCTCAAGGTTGCCCAGCAGAGGTGATCCAGAATGCCTGTGGTTCCTGCAGGACATCTTCAAGGGGGCTTCAACAGAAAGAGTGGGAGAATATGTGCCCTCCCTGAGAACAAGCTTGTGCGAGGGAAGCCTTGTGGAGTATGTGAAGAAAGTACTGCAATGCTTTGGGGGGGATTTGCTTAGGTGTTATAGTCTAATTTATATCACACTGAAAACATGCTGTGGACTTTGAATAGTGGGAGGCAGGCATTCATTTTAAGTAAACTGATTAATTGGTCATCTGTACTATTGCATAAGGGGAAACAGCTGCACATTAATCTTGTCTCCAGTATATGAGTTTCCTGTGTGCTAGGATTCATTCTTTTTCATTTTTATTTAGCAAGCTTCTATGCCGCCCCATTCGCCAAAGCCTCGGGGCGGCTCACAACAATAAATAAATACACATTAACCATATAAAACTATATAATTGGAGACATTCTGGCCAAAGATATAAAATCAATAAATAATGTTAACAATTAAAATGACGTTTAAATAAAAAGGTCTTGGCCTGGCACCGAAAAGCAAATAACGGTGCCAGGGGGACCTCTCTGGGGAGCGCATTCCTAATGTCCTTCACGGAGGGTTCCCGGAGAAGGGCGTCTCCTGCTGATCTCAAGGGGCGGGAGAGCACCTATGGACATAAGTGCTCCTTTAGGTAACCAGGACCCAAGCCATTAAGGGCTTTATAGGTAATAACCAACACCTTGAATTGGGCCCGGACTTCAATGGGGAGCCAGTGAAGCTGACGTAGGACTGGAGTCATGTGAACATAACGCCCAGTCCCCGTCAGCAACCTGGCAGCTCTATTTTAAACCAATTGAAGTATCCGGACCGTCTTCAAGGGAGCCCCACGTAGAGCGCGTTACACAAGTCTAGTCAGGAAATTACCAACGCGTGTGTCACTGTCGCCAGGCAGTAGTTCTCCAGGTAGGGACGCAGCTGATGGATCAGCCGAAGCTGAAAGAAAGCACTCCTTGCCACCGCTGTTACCTGAGCTTCAAGTGAAAGCTCTGGGTCGAGGAGCACTCCCAAGCTGCAGACCTTGTCCCTAAGAGGTAGTGCAACCCCATTCAGGACATGGTCAAAGTCCCCTTCCCCGAAGCCCGATCCACCTACCAACAGGACCTCCATCTTGTCTGGATTGAGCTTCAGTTTATTGGCCCTCATCCAGCCCATTACCTCGGCCAGGCACCGGTTCAGTACAGCCACTGCCTCACCTGGATTGGTAGAAAACGAGAGGTAGAGCTGGGTATTATCAGCGTACTGATGATTCCGCAGCCCACACCTCCTAATGACCTCTCCCAGCGGTTTCATGTGGATG